TAGGCCAATTGGCCGTAACTTTACATTTCGTAAGTGACTGATCAGTAAGATGATGCAAAGTAAAATCAATACCCCGTGTGGGACACAGAACCAGAAAAGATATCACATCATTTGAAGTCCCAGCATAATAGCTATTCCCGCTGTTGAACGTGAGGCATTGCTATTTTGGCTAATGGCCCGAGATATTCAGACTTGCCTAGGAATTAATTAGGTGTAGGAACAGAAAAAGCAAAGCTATGTGCCTGATGCATCGATGTGTCTGTAGACCCATGCACAGCTGTAAGACTATCGCCTTAGCTGCCCTGCAAACAAATGGCATCGTTTAGTTTCTACGATGTTTTATATCACTTGATATCTGTAAGTCTGTAAGTTACAATCAGTTACTCAAGATAAATACAGAAGATACTTAGAATTAGTTGAACACGCACTGTTATTTCGAACTGGATGTTGGTACGCAATGGGAGGTCACATCCCCACAGCAGAGCTCGCGCTCAAGTTCTCTTGCTAGTGCATTCTCATTGACTGATGGAGATTTCAAGACACTGACTAAGGTGTTCCAGGTGAATGGAGGACTTGAAGATCGCTCCCATATGTCCAGAATAGCCATGAACTGTTGAAAACACTTGCGATTCTCTCCACGAACTGCATCAATTGCTCCCATTCTAATCTCCAGCTGAATAGCAACTTCCATCCATTTTCCTGGAATGATGGCTGCCACACGATTTGCCAAATCACTCATTTTTGGTGATGACGTACGCTTGTATGCTGTTTGATCTGAAAATGAATAAAATAGTTTGATCCTGAATAGCTATGCATATACACCATGACTCTGCTTCATGAGGGAATTAAGGGGGGGGGTCCCAGGCAAATAATTCGAAAAATTATGAATTTTAATTTTTTTATTTTTAGTGTCTATAGGTATTATGCATCATAGATCCTAGCTAACAGAGACATATCTTGCATGGTGAAATAGTTATAGTTAGTGAAAGAGTCCCTCTACCTTCACTTTCCCGCGAACTGGCCGAGAAAACTATCTTATGTAGCCGACTTTTGCCCGCTCCGTAGCTCCCTTAAAAATCACGCAAAAAAGTTGCTTTTTTTCCGTTTAAATAGAGTGGAAACTGCACTTTGCCATGGTAAAGCACTAGCGGAGAACTCTTAGAGAGCTACGGGTTAAAAATAAACAGTGAGGTCATACCTAGAGCTGCCTAAACCTTTGATCTACCCGACAATTGTGCGGTTCGACCAATCAGCTACGCGGATTGCGCCGGATACTATGGTAACACGTGACGTAATTGTCTCAGCATTTCGAAAAGACAGAATGGCTTGATGGGACATGCCGGGAAACAAGCACCGCACGAGGCGGAGAAGGCGGCGAAAGCCTCCAGTCAGGTCTCCTCGACAACAGGAAAGCTTTGCGCCACGCCCGAGCTCGTCCACAGCCACCGCGACTACGCGTACTCCGACGGCCAGCGAGAAGAAACTCTGTAAGTCTCCTCACGCACAGGCGTGCTGTCTACTTGATGATCTAGGCCCAACACAGAGTAGCTATGAGAACTATGATGGTCAAGGGGCGAGAATATTAGAAGTTGAAGGGCTGAAGGCGGTGCTAGACAAATCTGTATGTTGCAGAAAGTGTGGTACTGGGTCAGTAATGTTCAAGGACAACTTTAGCCGACAACAAGGCACCAACAATGCCTCTTTCTTTGAGTGCAACACCTGTTCTGCTGTAACTCCTGTCCCTTTTTCTACTGTTGGTTCTTCTAAGGTGTTTTCACTCAATCAAAAGATGGCTTTAGCTAGCAAAATGGCTGGGGAAAATCTTTCAACTTTGAAAACTCTGATGGTGCATCATCGCTTTGGAGAATCACAGAACGCCTTGATCTGAGTGTCAGTGGTCTGTTGTACCTACTTTCTAAACAGTAAAGATATCAAAAAAGCAAATCCAAGGAAAGTGCCAGGGCAAAATATCTACGCAGACTGGCACGGAAAGATTTGACGACAGAAACAGACAGGCCAAGGGTGTGTACGCCTCGGGTGCTTTCAGTGACGACGCTCCAGGGCCTAGCAAACGTCAAAAAAAGTGACATACCTTCTCTTTTGTAATCTAAGTGTGTTTTGTTATGGTATTACACTTGTTGTGTATGTTGTGTCACTGATTTTTCTCACTTTCCTTTCCGATAAAGTTTGCGGCAACTTCGCACAGCGTTTGCCGAAATCATGATTTTCCGGTCTACGACAATTCTAAAAAACTAAACTTTGACATAATCATGACAAACTATATATATTTAGAATCCTCTCAACGAGATCTGTGTAATGACATTGAGTTTTTTTGAGCTTAGAGGTTGTATGTGGCATGTATGCAGGTTTATGTGTGTGAATTCTGTTCCATTTCGAAAAACGCTCACTAAATATTTATCAGAGTAGATACACAAAAAGGGCCAATGTAGTTGCACTCTCCTAAGTGTTGTGCACTTAACCTCCTAATATGGCTTGTGGGTTATGTCTGCTATCCAAACTATGAATGTCCTTATAAACCCATTCCAAAATTAGCAGTCTCTATTGAAGCAGCTGTTTTGTGTTAATCTGATGGTAGCCACGCCCCTTATTCCTCCCATGTAATCCACTAACATGTCTAAAAGCATTGTTTCAGTTTTAACTTCAGATACCCAATGACATAGTCACTATGAAATTAAATGTATTGGACTGTAAAAAGGTTGTTTTTGCCTGAGCCAGTGTAGCACCGAACCCGTTACTATCGCCCTTTCTTGCGCGTGGTGGCAGAAAACGTGGTAGCTAACATGTTCCATTGTAACAGACAGAGAGACACAGCCCCCCCTTCCCTCCAAGGTGATCACCGCCAAAATAGCGACTGGATATTAAGAGTGGGTTTTGTGACGTGAGAGGTGGTAGCTACTTACTAGTAGGCGAATGCATGGCATTTTTGGCGAGCGGAAGCGAGCTTACAAATGGGGTCTAATGGTATGAGTCACTCTTGTGTGTGCACAAAACAGTGAGATACATTGCGTAGCAGCTGTAGGCGGCCCTCTCTCCTCACTGGACTCGGCAGCAATTTGGCGCTTTGAAGCTGTTGGAGCCTGGCCTGATGTGCTTCCTCGGATTCTGCACCGCGTCTAGCTCCTGATCGTACACGACCTCTCGCTAGTCGCGCTTCCCTGTTTCTGTTGCCTTGCCCGTTCCCGATCACGCAATCGGCGTTGAGAAAGCCGAGCTTCTCTCTGCTCAGGAGTCTCACTGGCGTGACGTTCTCTTTCCCTCTCTCGACGACGAAGAGCATCTTCTCTAGACCGATCCATAACTCCCTCACACGCTCACAAATTATCAGGGGTGGAGCCTTCTGATGGGTGGGCGACGCACCGACGACGTATATACGGTGACATGCGCAGTTCGGCGACGTACGGTGACATATATATTATTATGATCATGTTTTATGCTGTAGCATGCATGGTTTCTGATGTCTTTGCTAGTCACTCTGGGTCCAATCTTTCTGATCACTCGCCCTTGTTCTTTCGTATTCATGCTGATTGCCGGCTCCCCACTTGCTTGCCACTCTCTTCCTTCTCTCGTCCTTTTCAACATCTCAAGAGAAGTTTGTTTGGTCTAAGATTTCTGCAGATGATGTTGACTGTGACATCAGCTTCCTAGCCTTTCCCCCGATGTTGTCAACTGCTTAAATCCTGATTGTTCTGTGCATCTTGAACTTCTTTGCTCAATTCCTTTTGTCATGTCTTCAGTCATGCTCCGTTGCATCCTTCCCTTGTGTTTCTCCTTCTTCTCCCCCTCCTAGAAAGTTATCTGGTTGGAATGACTCCACTAGAAAGCTGCGAGATTTGTGGCATAAAGTTTGGGTCGAAGCTGGCTATCCTACTTCGGGTGTTCCCTGTTCCATCAAGCACTGTGCTATAACAGAGTAGGTTCAAGTACGCTGTTTGCCGTCTTAAACACAGGAAGGAGTTCCTTCTTCGTGAGAAAATTGCCCATTCGTTTGCTTCACGGAAGAAAGTTCAGTTCTGGCAAGAAGTTAAAAGGCTGAATCATGTTAGGAAACCTATTGTGCTGTGTATTGACAGAGTCCCGGGAGCCAAGAATTTGTTCTCTTCACGGTTTGGGAATCTTTTGATCACGGTCTGACATTCCTTCCTTTGTCAATGCATCATTGTCTAATTCCATGTTTCAATTGCTTTATCCTTTATTGAAGATGACGTTTCTGATGCCATTAGCCAACTGAAATCTTCGAAGTCGATTCTACTGGGATCTCTCTCTGAACATCTGAAGCTCTGTAGTGCAGTTATTGCCTTGCCTCTTTCTCTTTCTTTACAGCAATTATATTCGTCACGGGCACATGCCACAGACACTGTGTGACTCTACCCTTGTTCTAATTCCAAAGAACAAGGATAATTCCTCCAGTGCCAATTATCGTCTTATTGCACTTTCGTCTACATTGAGTAAAGTATTAGAAAGGTTGATTTTGGGTAAATATGCTGATTTATTTATTAGCAGTCATCTGCAATTTAGGCATTTCATTTAGTTGATCATTCTATCCCCTTTCATAAACTTTTGGACCATGGTCTTTGTTGTCCTGGTATAGTTCACAGGAGTTTGTGTTCGTTGGAGTTCATGTTGTTCTGATTCCTTTAGGGTTTTGAAATTGTGTTCGTCAAGGTAGTGTTCCCTTTCCTTTACTTTTTGCTCTGTATATGGATGGTTTGCTGTCTGACCTTGTTGAGTGTGGTGTTAGTTGCTATTGGGGAAATCTGTTCTGCTGGTTGTTTGTGCTATGCTGATGATATTGTTCTGCTGGCTCCATGCCCTTCTGCTCTTAGACTAAGAATAGTACTAAGAATGCGCACGCGCATATTTTGCCCCGCGCGTGCCAGCCAATGCGTAAACAGTCCGACTGAGGCCGCTCGTGCGCGCGCGCTCTACTGACTGCGCGCGAAGCCAGACTTCCTACGAAACTGCGCGCACGGCGGAAGCTAGACTTCCTATATACGAATGACGGAAGTTACACTTCCTAACGTGACTAATTGACATTCTTAAGCGTGACGACACGTACGTACGCATATCGCGAGAATACAACCCGGAGTAGTTGCCTCACGCTAACGCGCTCGGCAATAATGCTGAACATTTGTTGTGAGTACGTCTCTAACCATGGTCTTGAGTTCCATACCTCCAAGTCTCAGCTGATATGTTTTCGAAAATTCTCTCGATGAACATATTCTGTTCTGTAACTTACGAATGGTCACCGTGATGAAGTCTCTTAGTCATACTCTTATCTTTAATCTGCGGGAAAAACTTCAAAGCAACGAAAGATTTGAACCAGAAGTCAAACAATTAACTGAGCACTTTCAAGTGTGTGGATCCTTCTGTGAAGTGTTTTCTAATGAAATCGTTCTGTCTGTCTCTGTATGGTTGCAATGTCTGATCCCTCTCCTCCCCCTGATTTAGTATTATTCAAGTTGCATTCAACCATATACTATGTAGAATCTGGAAGTTGCCATGGCAATCTCACAGCGCTATTTGTCAGTGTCTCTCTCATGTTCCTGCTATACGAAATCAAGTCCTGAAGCGTTTCCTCATCATCTGCTATGTCTTCTTCTTCTCCTCTAGTCAAGCATCTCTTGCATTCAATAGGCTATAATTTCATATAAGGTGCCGATCATGTTAAAATTTATTCTGACAATGATTATATTTCTGCTTCTCTTATTCGCGATATTCGTCACTGTTTTGGTTTTAACTCCCCTTTTGAATCTACCATATTTGCTGTATCATGTCAGTCATTGTAATCTCTCCTGTTTCTTTTTTACTACTGAGCAGACCAGTGGCCAGTCCAGGAGCCCTTAAGCGCGACGGGATAATGTCCAACTGGTCACTGGTTTGCTCTGTGCTATCTTCATACCACTGTCTAATTATAGCTACTTGATCCTGCTATTTTTATTGCTGTTCCCAGTTTTCATTATCCTCTCTTTATTGGTGTGTATGGCAAATTTAAAAAAATAATTAGATAGTAGTATAAAGACGGCACAGAACAGACCAGTGACCAGCTGGACTCTTTTTCATCGCCAACCTATATAGGGCTTAATTTTGCTGTTCTATATTTTGGTTGATAGTAGGAGAATGCGGGGGCAAGCGGGAGCGGGCACACAGTGACTCGTATCTGCACGAGTCATCCTAGCCTATCTTAGTTTATTCTCTCTCTCTGTCTTTTTTGTATTTAGCCAACGTTTGTATGAACTGGTCTCTGTACAATATTTTTGGCTAGAGATTAACACTTGTGCGGCTCACACTAGTCTCTACTAGCGAGTTGTCTTCTGACTCAACATGCGAAACCAGGCGAAAATGGATACAATAGCGCTCCCACCTGGGGATCCGGCGCCGACGTCTGGACACAGCGTTTACATTATGACCGAAAATTTGGGCCCAATCTGAATCATAAACGCAGTGCCCAGATAGCCTGTTATAGCACTCCCTCGCATTCAAAACGGGAGATCACGAGAGTAAACGCATGCTGATTGCCTGGCCAATATAATATAAACAGTACTGCAGTGCGCGAGGGTTTGCACTTTAGTGGAATATGCCGATCTCGACCACCTTGTTGATTATTGAGACAATTAGCTTTAGGGTCAATCCCAAAAGCCTCACAAACTTACTATTAGCAGCAGCTGTGTTACAAGGAATTCTCACGTAAGGAACTCTCTGATGTAAAAAGCCAGACAGAGGGTTATGGCCACCCATAGCATGATAAGCGCTGATTGTTTCCCCCCCCACAGGTTTGTAGCTGGGGAAGCTCCTGTAGAATCACAAACTTTAGCGTTAAGATCATCTCCATGACAGAGCTTAATGGCATAGGCTTTTGGATTCATGAATAACAATTATGGCATGTGGCAATGCCTGAAAATCTCGCATTGAGATGACTAGGTAGGCTCGCTTCTCTCACCATAAAGAACTGGCAGTGCCTTTGGTTCGTCTACGCTATGTAAAAATACTGTATAGCTACATGGCATGGTTTGACTTGAGTTATAATCCCTTGCCTCTTCAGGTGGGAGATGCCTTGGAATCTGCAGGTAAAAGGCTTGGAAGGAAAAACTATGAATTTTGTAATGGATAAAGAACAAACAGTAAGTCACTATAAAACAATCAAGATAAAAATTGCTCCTTCCCATAAACATAATTATGTATAGCTAACAGTTCTCTTTTTGCACATGCGCAAATAGAGAGTCAGTGAGTGACCAATTATTGCTCAAATTTATGCCATTATGCTGCTAGACTAAGGGGAGAACATTTTTACTGCTAGCTATTGCCTTTATAGACACGCGTTGATATGCTATGTTGTAGAGAGATATTTCACTTTTACATGAGCCATCATTGTGCAATTAGCTGTAATTGATGTGGTCTATTCCCAAGGGCAAGGAAGTTATTTATCATGTCTACTTGTAAACTGTAAAGTATCCTCATAGTGCTCACAGGGTACTAATATCTGCAGACCCCTCCCCAGCGTGCGTAATTAACCCTCGGTGCACATGAACAGCGAGGATTACGGTAGTTGGTTTGTCTGTCTGTGTGTCGACGCTTATTCTGGCACTACAGGCTATATATGAGGCGGCCTATTAGCTATACCAGCGGCTTCAGAACTAGAAAAGGACGATTTTCCTAAAACGACTGCGTTCGAGAGATATGCCGTGAAGACAAGCGAAAAGGCCAATAGCAATCGCACTGGGCTTACCTTGACCTGATCAGCTCAAGAGATGCGGCAAAATTGCGTGGGCGTCGATATTTTTTTCAATAGCATGGCTAAAACGCTCGTGAATTATAGTGAATTTTGGTACATGTCTCGGATTTTTCACTCCTTGTTTTACAAGCTCATTAGCATATTCATATTCTTCCTCCATACATTCTCAATGGGAGAGAAAACCAGTGCGCGACTTCACCGGGAGCGAACGGTTCCTCGCCATTATGCGCAGTAGCGTTCTTTCTGCCTCCTACGATACGCGCAGGCGTATTAGAGCCAGTTTCAAAAATGGGTGTGGCCACGTTTTGAGTATTACGTATTCGTTGAACTTTGCCACACAGGGGCTACGCCCATTTTTCTGAATAGGCTGTAATACGCCTCCGCGTACCGTAGGAGGCAGAGCAAAACCATTGCGCATAGTGGAGACGGACCGTTCGCTCCTGGTGAAGTCGCGCACTAGTTTTCTCTCCCTTAGAGAATGTATGGAGGAGGAATATGAATATGCTAATGAGCTTGTAAAACAAGGAGTGAAAAATCCGAGACAGGTATATACCAAAATTCACTATAATTCACGAGCGTTTTAGCCATGCTATTGAAAAAAATAACAAAAATATAGACACCCACGCAATTTGGGCGAATCTTGATCAAATCTCTGTGTACCTTGGGGGCTCAGGAAGTTACAATTAATGGCATGTATCGACTCCCGCATGCTCTCTACTGCTGTAGCTAGCCCCGTGTCAGACTCTCCGCGAGCTACTAGCAGGAGACCACGAGTAAACGCATACAAATAACCCAGCCAACAGCCATCAACTATCAGTATCGCGCATGCGCAGTTCGCCGAGGGTTTGTACTTCATTAGCTTAGTAGATAAGCGACAGCAGAATCCTCTCAGGTTTAAATAACTAAAGCAAAGAATTCTATGAACAACCAGGTGATGATTTGGAACTGCTATACACATGCAATGTTTCTGTCAGATTGTGGCAAGTAAGATCATGTTGTGGAGGTTTCCATGGTGGCAAGTCCATCTGAGGCGCTTGTCTTGAGTCAACTGGCACTTGTCTCAGGTGATGACTTTGTTTATTTTAGTCGGCTACTGTCCACACCAAATTCTGTATCACCCCGCCGCATAAAACAAAGCAAAAAGTATGTCAGCAAGAAAGTCGGCAGTACACTATGAAAGGAGTAGGAGAGTGGTTGCAAATCAAATTTTGTATAATAAAAAAGCTGGGTTCTACCCCCCAAGATGCAAAAATGTCAAGAAAATTGTATAAACAAGTAAATAAAAAATCCTGCGAATTTATATAAAGAAGCATTATACGGATGGTATAAAAAGGAAGGGAGACAAGATAGGAATGGGATACATGAAGCATGGTCAATGAACAGATTTGAGCACGTTGACACCCCGACCCCATCACGCAATCCCTATATTGTTACCCGGTGTGCCACTCGTAAACTCCAATTGGACTCTTGGTTACTCAGGAGCATGACTTTTCAAGCTACACAGTGTTATGGTAACGGTGTTGGTTACTCAGTATAAGCATGACTATTTTTTGTATTATCAAGCTGTAAGTCCCGACTATTGTAATGTTGAATGTTTAACACTTCACCTAGGCAACAATATAGGGATTGCGTGATGGGGTTGGGGGTGTCAGCGTGCTCAAATCTGTTCATTAACCATGCTTCATGTATCCCATCCCTATCTTCTCTCCCTATCTTTTTATACACTCCCTATAATTATGCCTCTTTTTTAAATTCGCATGATTTTTAATTTACTTGTCGCACTCATTTTTATATACTATTACGTATATCTCTGTGAAAGGCGGCAAGCCCCCTTGTATTTGAGAAGAATGCCCGTTGTCATCAATGATGTACTACGCGTGCGTACTAAGTTTCATCTATAATTATGTGTGGTGCTGTTAGCAAGTTTGTATATAGAGTTAAGAAGTAAAGGCCTGAAGCTATTTCTTTGTTAAAACAATATGTGGTTGTCATGGATATGATGTAATATGCATGCAAGAAGTTGTGGTATGCTCCGCTGATGAGGGTCAACAAGCCCGAAACAGCTGTCCAGAGCTCCACTTCTTTTTTTTCCTCGGCATCACATGGTGTATTTTCATGTGTATGCACTGGCAGGATATGGGTGCTTGCTGGCTTCATTGCCCCGGCCCAATCTGTTGTCAGTATTTTGAGTTCGGGTTTTGGCTGGTACTGGCAAAGCCTTGTGGGGATGAATCTCATTAGTTCAGAACCACAAGCGCTGCGCCTGAGCAAAGCCTTGTGGGGATGAATCTCATTAGTTCAAAACCACAAGTGCTGCGCTCAACTTAGCCTTTATAAACTCGTGGTGCCAGAGAGAGAAGTTGTGGTATGCTCTGCTGATGAGGGTCAACAAGCCCGAAACAGCTGTCCAGAGCTGCCATCTTTTTTTCTCTTGGCATCACATGGTGTATTTTTCATGCGACCAAGTTTCATCTACATGGGTGCTATATACCGTTAACAAGTTTGAGAAGTGTAGAAGTAATTTAACTGAGCCTATTTGTCGTTGTTCAAACAATATTTGTTTTGTCATGGAAACAATGCAATACACATGCGTACCAAGTTTATTCTCCCATTATCAAGTTCGAGGAGTAAGGCTATTTGTCGTTGTTCAACCAATATTATGTGGTTGTCATGTAAACATGTATAATATAGTTGTCATGGAAATGATGTAATATGCATGCATACCAAGTTTCCATGCTACCGTTAGAAATGTTGAGGAGAAGTGTCTTAGTGTTGTTCAAAGTTGTCATGGAATAACATGTAGTTGTCATAGAAGGATGTAATATACATGCGTACCAAGTTTCACCTCTATACGTGCTACCATTAGAAAGTTTGAAAAGTGAAGAAATTTAAAGAAAAGTGCCCTGAGGCTATTAACAATATGTGGTCGTCAGTGAAACAATGTATGATGCATGTGTACCGAGTTTCAATTCCATGCGTGCTTCCTTTGACAAGTTTGAGGAGTGAAGGAGTAATATAATTTTAAAGAAAAGTCCTTAAGGCTACTTGTTGTTGTTCAAACAATAATTATGTAGTCGTCAAGTTTCATCTCCATGCTTGCTATCGTCAACAAGTTTAAGGAGTAAAGAAATAATTCAAGAACATTGCTTGAGGCTATTTGTTGTTGTTTACAAACATGTAGGTAAACATGTAGTTGTCATGGAAATGATGTTACACACATGCGTACCAAGTTTTATGTCAATGCGTGGTACCATTGCTAAGTTAGAGGGGTGAAGAAGTAAATTCAAAGAAAAATTGCCTGAGGCTATTTGTTATTGTTTACAAATAATTATGTATTAGCCGTGAGTTATTGCTGGTGTGTTTTGAAGGCGTTCTCTCCGAATTTTGAGCTTTTGTACGTGACTCATTGACCCGTGCCATCCCTACACAACAGATAGATTATCCTGTGCTATGAAAAGAAAACCTTTTTGCCAAGAACAGTATATGTATCTCTTTAACACAATTATTTAACTACATCACCCTACTAGTGCAGTTACTTTCTTATGTCATATTAATTGCACTGTACCTACCCAATATACTTCAGGGAGAGGAGGGGAGCTAATAGCTATGTTAGTGCAAGTTAGCTACCCTCATTTTTTTTAGGATTGTACAGTTGATGATGTAAAACGTCTTATTGAGGCAAGAACAGGAATACCTCCTAATGAGCAACGCCTCCTGTTTGAAGCTAAGCAATTAGTAGATGGAAAAAAGCTCTGTGAATATTCCATCAGGGACAACTCTACAATTTTTTTGGTAATGCGGCTACCAGGTGGGGCAAAAAGGCCATCTCCACCTGTGCAAAGGAAGGTTAATCCTTCCGTACCTCGTAGCAAAAGGGAATGCATGATAATGTTTACAAATGATGATAATGTCAAGATGCCCTGTGGACATACAATTTCCCCCGATGCCCTTATTGATCATAGCTGGAATGAGATTTGTGTTAACCGGAAGACACAAGTCCAATGTTGTCTGTGCAGCAAAAATTGGGATCCTGACATTATTCGAAGGTATGGTGGTGCTACTGATAAGGAAATTGCTATCTTGCAAGAGTGTATGTCTGCTAATTATTGCCAAAAAGATCCTAAAATATCTGAGTGCCCATCTTGTTACACAATTTGTGAGAGACAAAATGAATCAAATCAGTGTGTAATGTGTCGTATTTGCACAAAGAAGAAGGGAAAATCATATCACTTCTGCTGGGAATGCAAAAGAGAATGGATTGGAAGTGTCACTAATTCGGTGTGCGGTAATGCTAATTGCAATCCAAGGGAATTACTAGAGAAGCTAAAAAATTGTCCAATGAAAAAAATGGATTACTTCGAGGGAGTGTATGTTCCATCGTTTCGTGCTTGTCCATGTTGTGGTTGTCCAATTGAACATGCTGGTGAGTGCAAGCATATGCAGTGCAGGATTTGCTCAAAGGAATTCTGTTTCGTTTGCCTACGTATTCGTGTCGGAGGCTCATGGCCATGCGGTATTTACAGAGATCCTTGTCATCCTGCACCTCGTCAGACAACAATTCCACGCCGTAACTAAACAGAATTATTATAAACAAGTGTAGAGTGCATAAGTAATAATGATGATTGTAAAACTAGTTTTATAAGGTTATTAGTGTCATGCATTGTGGGTGTAGGTCACATATTATAATAGTGTTAATAATAATTATATATTTGCTATTTTAGAAGAGCTAGAAAAACAATCAACAGATGTATGTGATCTTCATGGGTTTTTAACTGACTTACAGCCGACCAAAATGCAGATTTCTGTGAAAGTGTTGGCGAGCCAAGATTGTGTTGCTTACATTTCAAGCGACAAAAGATACCTTTTACCTGTTTCTATGTATGTATTTATCATGATTGTTGTAGTAGAGAAGAAAGTCGATTTCTGGAGCTCCTTGGTCTTACAGCGAACGTGTGTGGAATGAAGTAGAAGAAGATGCTGTGCTGGCAGTACGACTTCTTGAGAAGCGGCTGATGTGTAATGACTGCTTTACCTATATAATGAAAAGCACTGAAGTGCAAACCCTCGGCGTATTATGACGCGCACGCGTAAGTAAACGCATGCGCCGTACCACTAATTGATGGGCTGGGTTTAGTTTTAGCTGTTACTCGTGGTCTCTTGCCAGCTCGCGCAGAGTCTGACGCGGGCTAACTACACTACTAGATAGCATGCGAGAGGCGATACACGCCCTGCGTTGCATCTTCTGGTGCCTCCGAGGTACGCAGAGCACGCGGATCGATCATGCCGCAGTAAGCCGTTGTGTATTTGCATATTGGCTTTTTCGCGCTCTAGCTTTGCAACGGAGCGTTTTCAGCGAAAACCGTTCGAAATTTCTGACCTTCATTGCCCGTTCAGTAGGTGGTATCCTTTGTGAGACGAACGAACACTCGAGGAGTGAGATGACGAGTAACAGACAGACACACACACAAACCCAACTACCGTAACCCTCGCTGCGCATGCGCGCCGATGGTTAATTACTAGACGTAATGTTTTTGTTGACTTTAACTAATTCTTTAGTCCTGCTCTCTATTAAAAGAGGACACAAGATTGACTATCGCAATAACACACACTGGAGGACAACCAGCTTGTTCCCATATCTTACACCAGAAATCAGCGTCTTTGTGAAGCACAGACCAGATGCAACAGGAAAGAGAGAGGAATATGATGGGAAGGAAGAAGGAAGAATCATTTCCAATTCACAGGTGTACGAGAAGAAGGTGACCAGCTTGGTAAGCTTTTCATTTGTAGATTAAGCAATTAGAGTGGATGAATTCTTAAAGCATCTGCTGAGAGTGGCAACAAAAGTCAAGCCAGAATGTTGGAAGGAAGTTTAGGAGGACACAATTTACAAGGTTTTGAAGTCGTTCCTTCCTACTGAACGCTGAGCTTGTTGCTTTAGCACTTCAAATAAAGCAGGTAGCAAAAGAAGGCAACCTGTGATGAATGTACTTGTAGACGAACAAAACAGCACTGACTAAAAACAGCACTATGGTCGCGAGTAAAACTCCATTAGGGCATAGTGTGCTAGCTCGTTCAGCTCTAAACAAATAACCATTATGCTCAGGTATGGTTTTGCTGGAGAGGAAAAGGAGTGTAGCTTTATAGCCCAGATATGGTCTAGTGCGTCGCGTTTTTGCACGCGTGCTTCGGCGCGTACTGTCAAGGAATACACATGCCAGAATGGATGAAACAAAAAGAAAAACAAAACAAGCACAAAAACCGGGGAAAAAAAATAGGAAAAAGAAAAGAAAAAAGAATAGAAAAAATATATATATACCTCAATGATCCCATCAGTCCAAGCTGAGTGAGACAGAAGGCGGCTAGCCCACATAGTAGCATTTCCTCTCCACAAACAGATGGACAAGCAATGGAATAAATGTGAAACTGCTTCTGCGGGGGAGGTATTAAGCCTTTGACCCACTAGTCTGCCGATTCTGGAGATTTGTAGGGCTGCGTCATGGCTCCAAGCTCTCAACGATTCCACAACAAGGGGAACAAATGACACTCCTGCGCCTCTGCATTCGGCATTGTGAGCTACCATCTTTCTTTCCTCGGCCAGTTTCAGAGCATACCCCTTCTCGGAAGCAGCTCCTGATAGTGTGAGCGGTTGCAATTGGGAGTCTTCAAGGTCCCCCAATCTTCCAAGAGCACTCTGGATCTTCCCAACCCTGTCAAGTACCGAGGATTCACGGAAACAACGTGAACCAAGGGGGACACCAAAGAGGCAGAAGCCGGAGCTTGTGATAGGGATGTCGTGAGGAGGGGGTTATTGCCTAGATCATCCCCCGGGGGAATGTAAAGGAGAGACTTCTGACGATTTAGATGAAGACTCCTGGGGGGACCTTCTTCCTTGATGATCTTTAGAGCTGCGTCAAGATCCTGTGGGGTGCCACACAGAGTGCCGTCATGCAGGTACCAGACGTTGCAAAGAAGACTGGGTACCTCCCTCTTGATTCTCTTGACGATCGGTTGAAGAGTGAGAGAGAAACACAGGGGGCCTAGGGGGTCTCCTTGCTGAACCCCACAGCGACTAAGTAGAGAGTGGTTGCCAAAAATTAAGTGCGATTCTGTGCTGTAGCAGCTTTCCACCCAGCTTGACAGGCTCGGTAACCGTGCACGAGTTTCATGGAACATGTGCTCTCTGCTGACGCAATTGAAGGCGTTGGAGAAATCTATCAGGAGGATCCAACGAGATAGTAAGGGGTCCCCCCTTTCCAGGATGTGGGCCACAGAGTGGACAACAGCTTCACATCCTGCCTTGACCCCAACACCCACTTGCAATGGTGTTAACACATCAAAAGAATCGGACTGAACTGCTCGAGAAAGGCACTTCAAGAGTTGGATTTTCCCCACGCATTTCCGTTTTGCCGTGACAAAATAAAACTGCGCAGCACTCATGCAATTAGCGTACTACACGGCCTGAAGCCCGACATTAACTGCGTTATATGCCTTTCTCGTCGTTGTCCGTCTGACTGTTAGCTACCACATTTTCTGCGACTACGCGCAACAAGATAACAAAATAGCGATACCAACGGGTTCGTCGGTACACTGGCTTCATTTAATTTAAAAAAGGCATAACTGCTGCGTTAAAAACTTATGCGTGAAAAACAAGTGAATAAGCCAATTGCAAATTAGCGCAGGCTTACCTCGACCGCGTCCGCTCGCTCTCATACCTACCAACCATCCCACTTTTTGCTTGATAATCAAGCAAAAATAATGCCTATCCCTCCAAAAAAAATCGGCAAATCCCTCTTTTTTGTGCTAACCTGTGATGCATCATGTCTATACATTTTGAATGGACACACAGCAATTTCAAGCAAAAATACTCCAAAACTAGCAAATTTGACACATTTCTCTTTTAGCAAAGGTTCATCTGCAGGTTGGTAGGTATGCGCTCTGTGTGTCTTGCAGGCACAAGAAGTCACAACGAATGGCATGTATCGACTCCCGCATGCTATCTACTACTATACCTAGCCCGTGTCAGACTCTCTGCGAGCTACTAGCGGGATACCGCGAGTAAAGACATACAAAGCCCAGCCCATCAATTAGTGCTACCGCTCATGCGCAGTTCGCCGAGGGTTTACACTTTCATTATCGTTGTAGCTACTTTACAACCTTCCAGTAACACGGTTCTCTAGGTTTTGCAGTACATGTGTAGGTAGTATCCAGTAATGAAATGAGATGGAGAAAGTAAATGCTTAAAAGAATGAAAAGCACTAAAGTGCAAACTGGGCTATTGCCTATTAGTATGCGTTTACTCGTGGTCTCCCGCTAGTAGCTCGCAGAGAGTCTGACACGGGCTAGCTACAGTAGTAGATAGCATGCGAGAGTCGATACACGCCCTTCGTTGTGACTTCTTGTGCCTTCAGAGCATTGAGCAAGCCGAGGTAAGCCTGTGCTGAATATAAGCGCATGCGCATTTTTCGCAGCGATAAAAATGGCCTACTACGCATTAGCCGTACAATGCTGGAAGCGCTCTAGCTTTGCAACGGAACATTTTCAGAGAAAACCCCACAAACGTTCTGCCCTTCATTGCCCGTAAATTAGATCGTATCCTTTCTGAGACGAACAAACACTCGAGAAGTGAGATTGAGAGTAACGGACACACACAAACCCAACTACAGTAACCCTCGCTGCGCATGCGCGCCAAGGGTTAAAACTGAAGATTGTGACAGATCTGCACTCGCAGTTATTGAGGTATACCTGCCCTGCAGCGACAGTGGCTACAAAGAACATCTCATAGAGCTTGAGAGTCATTAACGAATCCACTCTGTTTTGGGGCATTGATTGTCCAGTTAATGCTCATCCCTGATGTCTGGGTGGAGCTAGAGGTTGTGGTGAGACAAATGTGCTGGGAGCAGTGGTGAATA